AGCCACATTTCCGGCTAACTAATTTTTCTTATATTCAGTTGGCAATTAATTTCTTTCTATTTATAGTAGAGACGGGTCTCGCTCTTGCTCAGGTGGTTTCGAATCCTGACTCGAGCATCGCCCGCCTCGGCCTCCAAGAGCTAGGATTACAGGCGTGAGCCACCACGCCTGCCAAGTTACTAATTTTAAGTTCATAGCTTTTATTTTGTGGTCTTAAATTATATATTCATTTGGTTCAGTTTATACAAGTAACATGTTCCTCAAATGATTGTAAATCAGAGTTCTGAACACTGAAACATCTATATGTACCTCAAACATGCATAGGAACATTGACATATGTATATATCAGCCTCAACATGGCTAAAAGATGTTCCTGGATTGGGTTGGAAATGTATAATATTTTTCTGTAGAATATTTAAAATTATGGTTAGGTCCCCAGGCTAGACATAAAACTTATTAACTCCTATGTTACTGAAGTAATATAGAATAATTCTCATATTTCATTTTCCTTTTACAAATTCAATGGAAAAATGAAATCTAAGTTCTAAGTACTTGATTGCAAATAAACTTGGGAAATCTGACCCCCCTTTAAATTAGAAACTTGTTATGTTGTTGTCTGAGGCACTTGCCACTTTAGGTAACATCACTCTTTATAATGGTCAATTTAAAATAGATAGATGCTTGCTGAATTATTTATTTTTATTTTTATTTTTGAGACAGAGTCTCGCTTTGTTGCCCAGGCTAGAGTGAGTGCCGTGGCGTCAGCCTAGCTCACAGCAACCTCAAACTCCTGGCTCAAGCTATCTTCCTGCCTCAGCCTCCCGAGTAGCTGGGACTACAGGCATGCTGGCCACCATGCTGGCTAATTTTTCTATAAATATTAGTTGGCCAATTAATTTCTTTCTATTTATAGTAGAGACGGCTCTTGCTCAGGCTGGTTCGAACTCCTGACTCGAGCAATCCGCCCACCTCGGCCTCCCAGAGTGCTAGGATTGCAGGTGTGAGCCCCCGCCCGCCGCTAATTTATTTTTATAACTTTATCTTTTCTTAAAACCGTAGCTTTCTTCATTCCTCTGGAGTGTTCAGAATTTAAACAAAACAAAACAAAACCCTATAGCTTCCTTTATTTTAAAGACATAATGACAATGTAGCTTATTTCCTTCATTCAGCAGGTTAGTTTAGAGGCAACGTGTGGAGTAGTACTCAAAGGTTTACAGCAGAAGATGCTGGTTTTCAGAGTTGCTACTGTCATAGAATTGCCACTTTTAAATGCATAAATAGAGGGTAATGCTTTCTGAGGTGAAAAGTTAGATGTTGCTTTGAAACTTGCTACCCCTTTATTGGCACCGAAAATCACTGTAATCAGCCTAAAAGGAATGTCATAGCGTCCTTTTTTTTTTGTAAAAGATGTCACAGCCATACACACCTATGAAATGTAGTAGGATTTAAGTTATTACCTTTGGGAGATAGTTGCTGACAGTTAGTGCTTTTCTAGAGCTCTACTCTTCTTGTTCTCTTACCCACACTTGGCTACTTTATCCTTCATGGTATTTTAATCAGTCCCAAAACATGTCGTTTTGCTACCATATGTGTATGGATGTATTTGTAAATTAATGCCCATTTCTTTTATTTGATTGTATCATTATATTGATAGGCAAAAGTTGCATAGAGTGGTTGAGGGAGGAGAAGGCACAAGAAGAATTCAGAATAAAGAAGGAAAAGGAAGAGGCAAGTAGGAAACGGCAGGAAGAGCAAGAGGTACAGTATTAATCACATAACCAGTGAACCAATTAATTAGTTACCGAAAATAACCCTCATTAAGAGTTCCTTATCTGGAACTAAAAAAAAAACCCTGTTATTCATTTTACCAAAGTTTTTAAAGTTTTTTTTTTTTTTTATTTCTTTGCCCTGCATATTAAATATTTTTAAAAAGTGAGTGTGAAAAAAATGACCTTTCTGTCTCTCTCTCTCTCTCTTTTTTTTTTTTTTTTTTTTTGCTTTCAAGAGAAAGTTAAAGGAAGAATGGGAAGAACAGCAGAGAAAAGAGAAACAAGAGGAGGAGCAGAAACTCCAGGAGAAGAAAGAAAGAGAGGTGATTCCTGCTGTGGGAGGATAGACACACGGCATATCCTCTGAGTGTGCAGATGTGCTGTGTGATGCGATTGAAGAATAAGCTGTAGTCATGTCTGGGTTGGGGTTTGTTTCCCTTTTTTGTTGCTTCATTTGTTTGTTTGAAAACAGTCATATTTTCAGTCTAGATGTACACTGGAGTTGCTTTATGATGTTCTTCTTTGGGTCTGTGCAGAAGCATATTCCTTATATTAAGGTTTTCTTCAACTTTACCCAATTTACCTTTTATACCAGGAATTGGCAAATTTTGTCTAGAAAGTGCCAGATAATATTTTTATGCTTTGTGGTTTGTCTGGTCTCTGTGGCAAACATCTATCTCTGCCAGTATACCTGAAAGCAGCCATAGATGATGTGTAAATGAATGGGGGTGGCCATGTACCAATAAAACTTTATTTATAAAACAGGCAGCTGGCCCTTGCTTTACACTCTCTACTACTCTGTAGCAAGTGATGTTTTTCTGAGGTGCTGCTGTATGTGGGTTGACTTCTTTAGAAAATATTTTGTTTGGTTTCTACATTTATTTATTTCATAAGAGATCTGACTGCTTGTGGTATGTCAGCAAGAATTTGTGGATTTAAAGAAATCAGGAACTCAATATTGAGGAATTAGGAAATGCTTTTTGTTGTTTTTATTAAATCTTGACTTCCTTTCCATCTTGAGCTATAAAGGCAAATGTAGCTAACACAGTTGCTCACTAAGAACCAAATTTATAAGGTATACGTTTATATCTTCTCTATCTTCTGGGATTCTTTTGAAAAGATTACTTTGATATATTTTGCTGCTATTCCTTAACAGTGTATTTATTTCAAAGATATCACCTCTCATCTTTCCTTGACTGATTTCATCAGGATGTATCTTTTCTATAATATTGACAAATTTGAATAGCACAAAATTGGGTAGTTAATTACTTATAATGGGGAATAACGCATGTGTTTACATCCTAGTCATGATGGGGTAGAAGCAGCCTCCACAACCTTTGTTTTCTGTGTCTCAGGCCATCTGTCAGTTTCAATGCCGATTCTAGATACCCTTATTTAAGCACTGCTTTCAAAATGAGGCAAGATCACACTAGCTTTTTAGGGGACAGAAAACTTGTTTGGAGCTTGTCATTTTTATTGAGAGGAATCTAGTCCCATTCTAACAATAGAGTGTTCTCCAACTGAGGTCTTTTAGGAATCAGGTAAAATGTAAGGCTTCTTTTTAAATGCTTTTTCTTCAAAAGACGTCTGGTGAGATATTAAGGAGAAGGAGGTAAAATGAAATAGAGTCTAAACATATATAAAGGAATATGCAATATGTGTTTCTGCAGTGTGCCAGATACTTCTATAGTGGACAGAAATAGAACAGTGAAAAACACAGTCCCTGTTTCTCGTTGAGTTATTTTTTTAGATAGGAGTGTCAGACAATAAACAAAAACAGGTCATTTAAAATGTGATAACATAATATTAAGTGCTATAAAGAAATAAAGGAGATAATGATGTAATAGAGTAATGGGGATAGAGAAGTACTTCTTTCAACTGCCTAGTCAAGGAAATCTCTGAGAAGTTGATATTTGAGCTGACACCTGAGTACAGAGATCTCAGGGAGAAGAGGCCTAAAGACTGGAGGCTGTAAGAAGGCCAAAGTGCCTGAAACCTAGAGACCAAAGGAGAGGGACAGAGGAGGAGGTTGGGAGGATAGACAGTGTCAGATCATACAGGGCCTCCTGGATTTGAAGGAGGAGTTTGCATTTTATGTTTCATGTAATGGAAAGCCACCAAAGGGTATTTAATTTAAGCAAGGAGTGGCCTCATTTATATTTTACCTTTTTTTTTTTTTTTTGAGAAAGGGTCTCACTGTGTTGTCCAGGTTAGAGTACAGTGGCATCATCATAGCTCACTGCAACCTCAAACTCCTGAGCTCAAGCAATCTTCCTGCCTCAGCCTCCCGAATAGCTGGGGCTATAGGTACATGCCACTATGCCTGGCTAATTTTTCTATTTTTTTGTAGAGACAGGGTCTCACTATTATTTTTCAGGCTGGTCTCCTGCCCTTAGCAATCCTCCTGCCTTGGCCTCCCAAAATGCTAGGATTACAGTTGTGAGCCACCACACCCCCCTATATCTTTACCTGTAACAGATCACTCTAACTTTCCTATAGCAGCAGTCCCCAGCCTTTTGGCACCAGGGACCGATTTCATGGAAGACCATTTTTCCATGGATGGGGGTAGGGGGTGGGGGGCTGGTGAGCGAGGGGGAGCAGACCGGTACCAGCAGATTGGCCTGGGGCTTGGGAATCGCTGCTATATAGAATGGGGGACAGAGAGAGAGCAGTGACCAAGGAGGCCAGAGTGTAAATACAGTGACCAGTTAGAAGGCTGCTGTTCCAGGCAGGAGATGCTGGTGGTTTGGATGAGGGTAGTGCTTAATAAAGATAAGTCACATATTTGGGGTATGTTGAGCCGAGTCGGTGGGACTCTACCTAGTAGATTGAATGGGAGGCAGGGGAAGGAAAGGGAGGGGAATTCAAGTCATGCTTTCAGGTTTTTAGTTCCAACAGGCAGATAAATGGCAGCACTATTTACTGAGAGGGGTATTTAGATGGGTGGGAGTGGGGGAAGCGATTTGAGCACATTAAGTTACTGAGGACGCTACGTGACAAGGTGGAGTTATCAAATGAACAGCTAGACATATGAGTCTTATGTGATGCTTTAAGGGGCTGGGGAAGAGAAGTCTGTGGTACACAATCTAAAACTTGTTCAAATGCCAGTAAAGTAGAAATTTACTGGGATATTGTAGAATTTCCTTTGCCTTATTGAAAAGTTTGAAATTTCTCCAAAGTGCTAATTACTACTGGTTATGTCATATTTAGCTTCTGTTAAATGTTTATGTTTCAGCTAGCATTGTGTTTTATATTCATGAATACCTCCTCTTAAATATGCTAATATTTAATTAAATATGCTAATATTAAATATGCTAAATATTACTATTAATGAAATTATTATGACTTTTTAAGTATTTTGCAATGTGATTTATTAAATTTTCTGTTTGAATAGAAAGTCTCAGCTATATATCCTTTGAAAGCTTTTCAGAAGATCTATGCTTAGAAAGAAAATTAGAACCTGAAGTACGTACGCGTGTGTGTTTTGTTACACGTGAGATTCTTAACCAGAGAAACCAGACGTGACTTACCTGACTTCTAGGTTTTCATTAGTCCTATGTTTACACCATTTGTAGGAAGCTGTGCAGAAGATGCTGGATCAGGCTGAAAATGAGGTATTTTCAAAACCTTTCATTAAGAATTTGAGACCAATTAATGTTTCTTTAGAAACAATAGTTCCAGTAATGTTAGTTTTGTGGTAGGCTATTTAGATCACATCTGGATATCTGGAATCACCTTTGTAGCTCTTTTTTTTTATCTGAGACAGTCTCAGTCTGTCACCCAGGCTAGAGTGCAGTGGCATCATCATAGCTCACTGCAGTCTCCAGCTCCTGGGCTCAAACAATCCTCCTGTCTCAGCCTCCCCAGGAGCTGGGACTACAGGCGCGCACCACCATGCCCGGCTAATTTTTCTATTTTTAGTAGAGATGGAGTCTTGCTCTTGCTCAAGCTGGTCTCGAACTCCTGACCTCAAGTGATCCTCCTGCCTCGGCCTTCCAGAGTGCTAGGATTACAGGCGTGAACCACCACACCCAGTCCGTGGCTCTTCTATTTACACAACAACAACAAAAGTTTGTTGATGAACAAAAACAAATGGGTGGAGTCACCCCCGTGGACTGTACTTGTCTAGAGTCCTTACTGTGTGTGAGCAACACCACATACTGTTAACCCCCAATGGACGGTTTACCTTGATTCAGAGTAACTTCTATTTCTGTCTGTGATGGTTCTCTAATAAGTCCTTGGACCCTTTTCAGAATGGCTGGAGACCTTGGTGACTGCCCTGGTAGCAGTAGTGATGCCAAATAAAGGAAAGTGGGAGCCAAGAGAGAAATAGAGCTCGTCCCAGCATAGCTGTTTGTAAAGTTTTTATTGGCTATTGTAATGCAAATGTAAATGTTTGTGTTCTTAAATGAAACAGTTTTCATTTTGAGGAAAAGATTGTAATACATTTTGAAATATTTAGTCTTTCATAGGTTCTTACACTGCCAGTAAAGGTATGGTTATTTTCAACAGTTGGAAAATGGTGCTACATGGCAAAACCCAGAACCACCCACGGATTTAAGAATAATGGAGAAGGATCGAGCTAATTGTCCGTTCTACAGTAAAACAGGAGCTTGCAGATTTGGAGATAGGTAACTGACTTCGTTTTATCATGTCAGAATGAAGTGATTCAAAATGTTGAGGTCTTTTCTCCTTTTGGGAGAGGCCCGGGTTTCAGTTTAGAATGGTTCTCATCAGGCGTCTGCTGTGTTCTTGCTGTTTCTCTGTTTCCCCAGCTGATCTTCCTCTGTTTCTGCCGTTCTTGATTTCCTCTATCCTTGTCCCCTGGGTAGGCTTAGCCTAGTTCCCTAATAAGTGCATTCCACAGCTTTAGGAAGTCCTTTTGCTTGTGGCTTTGTCCTGTGCTTGTATTAGTCCACAGTGGCTAACTGGGATGGGGAAGTAATATATGTGAAGAGATTGGAGCTGCCTGACTTTATTTTTTGCATCACAAACACTGTGCCCCAAACAGGCTTTTAAAATGTGGCATGTGTAAGGGATATCTGTGAAAGACAGGATCCCAGTGAGTAGAGGAAAAGCATTTTAATTCCCATTGTCATTGTGTGCAGACTCAGGAACACACCCCTGGGTTCAAAATCTGCCTTCAGTGGCTTTCACTTTGGGAAAATGACTTAAGCTCTGTGCGCCTTAATTCCCTCATGTGTGAAATGGGATTAAACACAGTCTCACCTCTCTGAGGGGGATATGAGGCTGAAATGAGCCAATGCCTGGGAAGCCTGTAGAACGGGGCCAGGTGCACAGTGAATGCTATTTGGTTTGCTGGTGTTTTCATTATCGTTATTGTCACTGTTATTCTCTGAGACACTCTTGTCCCTGCCTCTTTTGGATCAATGTTTTTGAAACAGGATATTCATGTGGAAACCTTGTGTTGATCTCTTTAGTCATTTAGCAAATATTTGAACACCTACTACATACCAAGTAATGGTGATTTTTATAATTTGGCTTGTTTATGAATGAACAACTTAAAGTAGGTAAATAATTCCTAATGATGAATGAATCCGTCTGAGGCAAAAGCTAATTATCACTGTATATTCTGCAGAAGAGAAGATGTAATCATAATCTTAATGTGCTATTTATCCTAAGAAGGGATGTGACTAGGAAAATTAATATGTATTTAATGAGAAACCATATGTCTGTCAGGTTTATTTTATTCATAAAATATCCATGCTGTGAGTTTTTTCCTTATTTAAAAATACAGCCTATTTTCTCTTTCTCTTCTTTTTCTTTTTTAATTTAAGCCTTCTCGCCATTTTTTATTTTTTAAGAATAGTGGTTCTTAACCCTGGATGCACATTAGAATCATCTAGAAAGCTTAAAAACAACTATGTCCCATCTCAAATTAAATCAATCAGAATCATGGGGACTTGGGCGGTTTTAGTTTTGAAATGTCCTCAGGTGTTTCTAATATGCCGCAGTATTGAGAGCCACTAATGTATTTATCTGCTTTTGTATTTCCCAGCTGGGATTGTAGATGCCCAGAGTATCTGTGAAAGGATTTGCAGGGTCTGGTAACTAGTAGAAAGCCTCCTCATGAGGAACTGGGAACTAAGGGAAGGAGGGAGACCTCATTCCCTTTGGTACTTTTGGAAGTGCTTTTCAGATGTACACTCAGTCTCAGAAAGAAGCAATAATTAATTGATTGTTGTAAAACACTCACCACCTAAGAAAAATGCACCAGGAACTACCTTTCAGGGACAACTGAGACTCAATATGAGTTCTCATTTGCCCGGATAGTTGAAACAAATTGCATTTAAGGTTTTCCAGCTGCGAGATCCCTTGAGTATGTTGTGTCGCTAACATTTCCTTGAAAGTTAAGACTTGTGGTAGCCTCATTCTGGATTCTCCTTCTGTTGGGCATAAGAGAGAGAAGGGGAGATGTCCTAAATGGTTTCAAGAACTTGGTTGACAGGCACTTCCTTTTGGGAAGGGGAGTGGCCCATAAGGCTCTCAGACCCCATCTCCAAGAATCATTTCAAGGAAATATGGACAGTGGTCAAAGCAGTTTGTGAACATTTCTTACTGTTTTCATAGGCATATGAAATTTCACCATCACAACTATGGAACTATGAGAGTAGTTTCATCATTCAAGTGATACGTTGTGACATAAAATAGCGAAATTAGCAGTTAGGAAATCCAGCACCATCTCTTCAGATAAGTGTGCTATTCTGTTCTCCTTTTACGGAGACCCTTGGTGACTTGCTCCAGATTGTACAGCTATTCTGTTGTTAAGGTTTGTCAGGTCATTAAAGAAACACATCCCTAACCTAAGCATTTCCTTGGTTGTTTGGTTGTGTAATTAATACAGAGTTCAATTCTAGAGCCTTTTTGGAATTGGTATTTCCTGGAATCACAGCTTTGAGGAAAGTTCTATTTTTTCCTCCCAAAGATTATAAGTACTGATGGAAGGTAAAACTTATTTGTCTGAGTATCTATTTATACCTCACCTACTTCCAAAAGTGACTTAAAGAATGCTCACAATCTACTGCATTATGTTAAATAAAATAGAGGAAATTGAAAGCAAGCAAGGAAGAGAAAGTGAGTTATTGTGAATGTGCAACCTTTTTGACTCTGAATTTTAATGCATTCCAAGTAGATAATAAGCTATAGTTCTTACCAAAAAGGAAGAATGAGTGGTATCTTTGGAAAGACAAAAGATTTTCCTGGCACTAGATTCTAAAGGTTTCTCCTATGGAATGTTATATAAGAGCATTAAATAGGAAGGTGGACAGGCACTTTGATAGGTATTTTATAACAGTTACATATGTAATTTTCATGAAAATGTTTCTTACAGTGACCTTCGATAAATGCAGCCTAACTTTAGCATGCAATGCAGGAATTCTGTGTAGAACAAAGACAGTGGGTGCCAGGAGTGCTCCTTTGAGAAGAAGACAAAGAGGAGTAGTCAGTTAGCTATACCTGAGGTGGCATTTGGATACTCATACCATTTATTGGCCATCCTCTGTCTAAGGTAATGTCTACCTGTGTGTTTTTGTAGCAGTCTCCCTTGATTCAAGTGTTAGAGTAATGGGCAACTGGTATGCCCTAAATCATTGATTCCCAAACACAGCTGATCTTCAAGACCAGGTAGGGAGCCACTTTGAGAATATGGGTCTCCCATCCCTTGAGGTCTGGTCAGATGATTTGGGGCAGGACCGGGAAATTTCCATTCTTCCCAGATAATTCTGAAGCCCATACAGCTTTAGACTGCCATCCTAAGTATTACTTCTTTTGGCCAACTTTTCAGTAGGAGCTATAGGGCTGGCCTTTTGTATACACTCAGACTGTAAGGATGGTCTCTAGGTCAAAAGTAGGGTTTTTCCCTAGTCAGGGACATGGGCTCTATTCCAAAACTGACAAATACTCATTTGATACCCCTGGCAACTAGGGCTAAGTTCACTCAGATCTAAGACTCCCGTGAGCAGAATTTTAACCTCAATAAATTAGTTCTTCATTTAATTCTGTATGTGCTGCTTATTTGTAAAGTTTTGATTTGCTGCCAATGTTGCCAGCCAGGTTGAATCCCCTCACTCTTTATTCTGTTGGTAGTTGGGAAGATGGAGCTAATTACAAGGTCTCTAATTGAATAATCTAGGAGGTCATTTGGAAAATAGAAAATTTTACATAAATGAATATTGATTGAACATTTTTGAGCTGGCCACGGTATATATTGGGCATTCTGTTTGCATGATCTCAATATGTGCCTGGGTGTATATTACAGACATAGAACGTGAGTGTGATTAAACATTTAGTCATTTCAGGGCCATGTTTTTTTCCAACACATGTCCTGTTCTTCAACTTTCTTTCTTCCTAAGTTCTGTGGATTCGTCTTTTTCCTTAAAAATCTTATCTTACCGATTTTTAACTAGGAACTAACCAGGAAAATTTGTTTATTTGGAACCTCAAACTACATTTTTTTTTCTCATTTTATTTTAGGAGAAGGAAGTAAATAAGAAAGTAAACTCATGTAAAGGATTTTTGAAACATTACCCAGGCACAGCCTGGTCGGATTAGCCCCGGTCCAGTTTAAACAATGAAAAGAAAATTGTTCTTCATAATGGTTAGCCACCTTTATTAAATAACAACTGAAGTATATTTATTATGCCCTATAATGAACAGGCACCAGATTGTAGATTAATGCAGATCTCTTGGGTCCATCTCTTCCCAGCCGCATGGCTTGGGCAAGCGTGCTTCTCTAGGCCTCGGCTTCTTTCTTTGCAAAGTGGGTAAAAAATACTAGCACCAACTATCCTAAGAGGTTACAAGGATTAGAAGGAAAAAAAAATGTAACAATGACATGAACACTATAAAATGCTGTACATAGATGAGACTGAAATACTCCATTAACTGGAAATTCTTGAATGACCCTATTCTCTAAGTATTTCAGTTCATCAAAGATTGTACAGAACTGGGATTGCATTGTTACTTCCTGCCTTCCTCTCAGGAGTCCCATATGTGGCATCTTCGTACGTTGTCACCACACCCTGTCACGCCAATGGGCCTTCCTTTTCCCTATGGTTTAACATATATAAAGCTTCCTAAACTTCTTTCAAAGGCAACTGAATGGCGTATGAACTTAGAAATCATTCCCAACTTGACATTCTAATGAGAGCCAATATATTGGTCAGTCTTAAAACAGTTTTCTTAAGCGCTGAAACTTGGCACCTGAGTGGGATTTATTATCTTACAGTTAAGTCAAAACAACTAAGTTACTTGAATCTTTATCTCAAAGTTTAAAGCAGACCTTTTATGTGTAATTTTTAACATTGGACTAGTGACTTCAAGTTTTTCTCTCATATGCAGGTGTTCACGTAAACATAATTTCCCAGCATCGAGTCCCACCCTTCTTATTAAAAGCATGTTTACCACATTTGGAATGGAGCAGTGCAGGAGAGACGACTATGACCCTGACGCAAGCCTGGAGTACAGTGAAGAGGAGACCTACCAGCAGTTCCTAGATTTCTATGATGATGTGCTCCCTGAGTTTAAGAATGTGGGGAAAGTGATTCAGTTCAAGGTGGGCATGCATGTAGAGGAGGGGACTGGTTTGCTTCATCCTGCAGAACTCGATGGCACAAGAGAGCCAGGACCTAGGCTGTTCACCTGGGTGGTGCCGTGTGCGATGGTACGTGCCTGGCCCGGGGTTGGGCACTCAGGCACTTGGAAATGTGACTTCCCTCTCTCTCTCCCTTTCCACCCCACCCCCACCCCATTATTTCCTGAATGCTACGGTCTAGACTGAAAAGGATCTTTCATTTATTTGATACCTTTGTGTTCCAGCTCTTTTCCATCAAATGAATTCTCTGTAGCAGGTCCTCTGCACAGAGCCATCCAACCCTTCACTTAAAAGCTGCATGTGATGGACGGTGCACTCCCTTCCTCCTTCTGCAGGCGTCTCCCCTACAGCTGCAGTGTACACAGTATGACACAACTCCACGCACTGAGTCTGTTGGTGCACTGTGTCGACAATGCCTGCTTGCAGTGTTTACCCAAGGTGCACGTTCTTTCCTCTGGAGCTGCACAAGAACATAAAGCTAGATTCTTTTTTTTTTTTTTTTACCTTGTTTTTATTCATTGGATACTTTCAGTACCGAACATCGTATGCCAAAAACCATGCTTTGTGATGCACCATACTGGGCTAAAAAAGCATTCAAATGACAAATAATTACTTTAAAATATTCCTTAAGGCAAGAAGGGTAAGGCCAGATGTAATCCCTGCTGCTGCCAGGACCCATTAGTTGAATCCTAGCATAGCGAAGCTTCCTACCTTGTCTGATTTCATCAGATCTGAACCTGAATGACCTTACGTTAGGGCAGGGAAAATGTCCCATAATTTGAGACAAGACAGGAATAAATCTGTATTTTTTTCCTGCTAGTTGGAAATGACAGTGGAGAGTTGGAACACCCAAGGAACAGAGATATTCATGAAATTCGAGGCTATACTTTTAGCAACCGATTTCAAGATTTTTAAAAATGCTTTTTAAATTTCTTTCCCCCTTAACCTTTTGTTTCTGTGGTGTGTGCCTTCCTGTCTTTGTACTACTCAGCACAAGCAATAACCACTAAAGTGGAAATGCTTGGTCACACCCACACAATCCACATTGGCAGCGCTGGCTTGCCAAGGGGGCAGCGTGGTTTGACTAGTCCTGTGCTCTCGAACATGGCACTTTATCTCTTCCAGCTTTTTCCTTATCCTCAAAATGAGGGGACTAGATCACATCAGTGGTTTCCCTTACGGGGTCCCTGGATTATACCGCTTCTGTGAAGGGGTAGCATTGGAACTGCTTTTAAAACTTCAGACTGGTTAATGGAAATGCAACAAGCTGCACCCACTAACCACAAACTAATTTGTGTAGAATTCTATCAGCCAAGCTCATGCTAGTCACATTGGCAGTTATAAATGGAAAGCTGTTTAGTAAATTTTTAGTAGGAAAATTTTCAGAGCATCAAATTCATCATGGAAAATTAATGAGTCTTTGGGAACCACTGGATTAAATGATCTCTAAGGTCCCTTGCACACTGACATGGACTCCCAAGGCCTTTTATACTTCCTTCTAAGGATGGTGATACAAACTGTCATTGAGTATGGATCCTGCCCCTTTTTAGATACTACCCTAATAAAAATACTCTGGAACAAATTCGTAAAAGTATAGATTCATTTTAAAGATAAAAGCTAAACACTAGCATGAGTATTTGAGGACCTTTTTATATACTATCATATGAAAACAAATCAGGTCTGTCATTTTTGTAAGCAAATGATCAAGTAGTCAGCCTAACTAGTAATAGGAACATTGAATATGAAAGATGTTATTCATACCTATCAGGCAAAAAATTATAAATTCTATTAATACCAAGAATAAGTGAGGATGCATACATTAGAAACACCACTTCAGAGAGCAATTCGTCAATACCTAGTAAAGTAGAAGGCACACATAACCTATGGATCAGCATGTTCCTTCTGGTTATGTACACTAGAGAGAGCTTTATACCCACAGAGACCTGTTCAAGAATGCTGACCACAGCACTATTTGTGGATGAAAAATTGGAAGCACCTTGGACAGCCATCATTAGAGAAGGAAAAATAAATTTGATAATTTGATATATCTAGTATACAAAGGTTGAATCATTAAGTTTATGTGATTACATTTTGAAAAAAAATGTGGAATAAACACTATATAAAAATTTAAAACATACAAAACAATACTGTGTGTTGCTTATCAATACATATGTGTTTCTTTGCATATGTGTACATAAATATGTATACCCATTATACATGATAACATACATTTATATGTATGATACATATATGTTTTTGGCATGCATATGATACATGTATATATGCCTGTGTGTCTACATTTGCATCTGTAGATCTCTGTACGTACATGTGCACATGTGTTTGTGTTTGGAATGTGACGGCTCCACTCAGCATCTGGTTAGTGCTCACCTGTGTGATGGAGATGGGAGAAGAATAGGATGGAAGGGCTTCAACTGGGTCTTTAATGGTTTACTTATTTAAACATTCTTAGCCCAAAATAGAAAATGCTAGTGTTAAATCTGGATAGTATATATACAGGCTGATCGATATTCTCTGTATTTTTATGCATGTGCGAAACATTTCATATTTGTGAAAAAAAAAAAAAAAAACCTGGGTTAACAGGGATCAGATGATTAGGGCCTGCAGCACTGCTATGTGCTGCAGTATGCCTTAAATAGATCCAAGAGTGGGCTAGTATCCCTCTTTTGGAATCTTTGGTAACTACTTTTGGGAGTGTTAGTCTGGACAGAGTGGATTTGATAGCTGACTGATTTCTTTTCCTGAGTTTTTTATAACAGCATTCTTCACTGCTCCTTAGGTCAGCTGCAACTTGGAGCCTCACCTGAGGGGCAACGTGTATGTTCAGTACCAGTCGTAAGTATTCTGAACAGGAACGTCTTCCTGTCTTGTCATAGCATGGTGTTTTGTTTCTGTTGACATCTAGAATTTTTCCATTGGATATATAGCTTTCATATGCATGGTATTTTTAAAAACGTAAATATTAAAAGTTGATGGGGCAGGGTGGGGTGAGGGGAAAAAGCTGATGCAGAAATGCATTTCTGATGCAGAAATGCAGAAGGAATGTGAAATAGTATATTTATATTCCATTCTTTCTATACTTACATAGTTTTGAATCTTTTACAGTATGGTTATATTATTATATAATTTTAATAATTAAAATACAAACTGAGGGAGGGTGGGGGGGAGGAGGGGATGGGCAACGTTTGGGGGATGGTCATGCTTGAAGCTCTTGAGGGGGGAGGGGGGCATGGGCAATATAAGTAACCTTAACACTTATTATACCCCCACAATACGCTAAAATAAAATAAAATAAAATACAAACTGAAAAGTGATAACTAGAGTAGAGAATATAAAAGTATAAATTGAAAGAGCCAGAGATTGACACCCAAAAATCATCCTAGTGTGCCTTTCAGCAGCTAAGAGAGCAATTACTGAGTCATTTCTGCGTGCTGTACAGTTTGCCTAGACTGCACTGTGGCTAATGGGTTAAGTTAACCATTGTAATAAGAAGAACAGCAATCCTAGCTGGGAAAGAATAGGCTCAAGCAATGGAAGGCACTTCTGCATTTTTAATGGTCCAGTCTTTTAGATTAAGAAGCTTTGACTCAAGCCAATTTCCGTGCATCAAAACCCCTCAAAGAGTTAGCAAAAAGGGTTCCTAAATAAATTGTGAGCTTTGGGAGCTGGAATATTCTAATGGGGACTCCCTAGGTAATACAAAAACAGTGAACTTTTGGTGGTCTTAAAATAAGGTAATAAAATGATTAATTGATAATAAGGTTAATCTACATACTAGGAAGTAACTGGAAAGCACATCCTTTGATTTTTGGTTTAAAGGGAAGAAGAATGCCAAGCAGCCCTTTCTCTGTTTAACGGGCGTTGGTATGCAGGACGACAGCTTCAGTGCGAATTCTGCCCAGTGACCCGGTGGAAAATGGCAATTTGTGGTAAGACAACGTGATGATTTTCCCCCAGTTGTCCCACTGTTTATATAAAGTGATATTCTTCAGGAAAAAACAATCTTTTAAAGGGGGTGACGCATAGCTTTTGCCTCACGCAGTAGGCGAGCAGAAATTTGTATATGAAGAACACCAAACTTTTCTGCCGGGTGCGGTGGCTCGTGCCTGTAATCCTAGCACTCTGGGAGGCCGAGGTGGGAGGATGGCTCAAGGTCAGGAGTGTGAAACCTGCACTACTAAAAATAGAAAGAAATTAATTGGCCAACTAAAAATATATAGAAAAAATTAGCCGGGCATGGTGGCACATGCCTGTAGTCCCAGCTACTCGGGAGGCTGAGGCAGGAGGATCGCTTGAGCCCAGGAGTTTGAGGTTGCTGTGAGCTAGGCTGACGCCACGGCACTCTAGCCCTGGCAACAAAGTGAGACTCTGTCTCCAAAAAAAAAAAAATACCACACTAGATCTGTAACTGACTTTGTGGGTCACATTATGGATGAGGTGACTGAGGTCACAACATATCAGTGACAGAGTTGGGCTAGAATTCCACTCTTCTGGTCCTCAGTCCTGGGCTCTGTGTCTGACAGTTCAGGAAGCCTGAGACGTTATGTCTGTGGGAAGCCACATTTTCCTTGTCGCAGTTTCATGGTGTTTTCTATTCCTTGGTTCTCCTCACTTGAGCTGTATTTGTTTGTTTCTTTTTGCCTTTATTGCTAATGAATCTTCTGTCATCATTGCCATCTACATTACCTTACCTATAGCATTTCCCGCCTTACTTGAAATACATGCTTTTTGCGTTAGAGGCTGACCCTAGGCATGGGATCAGTTAAGTGTGCTTTCTGTCAGACTGACTCACCGGATGGTGGCAACCACATCAGGAAATGATTCAGTCCTCTGCGGAGAGTAGCCAGCAGCTTTGAAGGCTTGGTTATTTGCTGATTTCTACCACTGGGCTTAGCTAAACTGTTGTGGAAGTTCCCCAGGTAAAGAGATGAACCTCTAAATGCCTCAGTGGAACACTTAACCTTAGCCCTTTACTTGTGTTTCTTTGCTCTATGTTCACCTGCTTAAAACCATTCATTAAAAAAGATAATTTATAAAGTCCAAACCTTTGGCAGCCTTGTCTTCATGAATGTTGACATTTTAAAAGATTTTAGGATTCCTGCTTAGAAAAATCAGAAGAACCATTGCACCTTAAGTTTAAAGGCTTACAGGATGAGAGAGGAAATTTTTTTCTCCATAAAAGCAGTTACTTTTGTCAGGTCCTGGCAATTCAGCGTGATTTCCATGAGGTGCTTCTGAGTATGGCTTCGACTTCCCCAAAGCAGGAGACTATTTCATGTGTTAAAAAAAATTACAGCTTTGTTAATTTCCTTAGCAACTAATGAGCATCTTTCATATCCTTATTATTAGCTATTTGTATATCTTCCTTGGAGAGATGTCTATGCGGATCCTTTGCCCATTTCTTAAGTTATTTGTCTTTTTATTAAGTTGTAAGAGTTCTTTTTTTATAATTTTTTTACTTTTTTTTTTTCTCGATCTATAGATGAGCAAAGAGTTCTTGATATATGCTGCATGCAAGAACCTGATCACAAACATGACTTGCAAATATTTTCTCCCATTTTGTGGGTTGTCTTTTCACTGTGTGTCCTTCGAAGCACAAGTTTTAAATTTTGATAAAGTCCAATTTACTTTTTGGGGGGTTTTTTGCTTGTGCTAGGATGCCATTGCTTAGCCCAGTGTCTAGGATGGTTTTGCTTACATGTTTTCTTCAGAGTTACAGTTTCATCTCGTACATTTAGGTCTCTGATTGCAGTTTGAGTTAATTTTTGTATATAGTGTGTGGTATGGAGGTATTTTACTTTTAACTGTTATACATATTTGGGGAATTTATTGCTTAAAAGAAAAGAATTTGAAAACCCCAAAAAGATCTCAGAGTTGTTGAATTAGATTTCACCTTTGACAAGAATCTTCCATATTAAAAGCACTTGGTAAATTTAAGGCAGTAGGCCAATGTTTATCATCTTATTCACAAAGTATAAAGAAAATACAGGCTTCTCCAACCATAATGGGCCTTCTCTTTTGACCAATGGTTCTGTTCTGCCACTACCATGCCCTCAAAGCACGCGACCACAGAGACTCCAGAGGCTGGCTCTTCAGCGATAATTAGGGGTCCTAAATTGGCAGTGAGTGGGATGGTGCAACCCTCAGAAAGATAATGTGGCCACCATTTGTTCAGTTTCACTCTGCACCATAATCCAGTAGGGGCACGGGATAGTCTGATTAATTAAAACTTCTGAATTTTAGTCTGATTAATTAAAACTTCTGAATTGTTGCCTTTCAGAGTAACATTTGTTAGAGCATTTTTGAAATTCTGGAAACAAAACTGCAACATCAATTTATATAAGCCCCTTTTAAATAATACACAGTGGGAAATCGTTCTAGCATATCCAAACATCAGAAATGTACCTTCCGAAAAGGATAAAGTACCATCTTCGGAATACACAGTAATAAGTGCTGTTTCATCACTGCCATTGCAGGTTTATTTGAGATACAACAGTGTCCAAGAGGAAAACACTGCAACTTTCTTCATGTGTTCAGAAATCCCAATAATGAATTTTGGGAGGCTAACAGAGACCTGTACCTGTCTCCAGATCGAACTGTCTCCTTGTTTGGTAAGAACTTGGAGAGGAGAGAGAGGATGGGCCACCATGACGAATACTATAGCAGGCTGAGGAGGAGGAGAAGCCCTAGTCCAGACCACTCCTACAAGAGAAATGGGGAATCTGAGAGGAAAAGGAGAAGTAGTCACAGGGGGAAGAAATCTCACAAACACACGTCAAAGAGTCGTGAGAGGCGCCGCTCACGAAGTAGAGGAAGAAAAAGGGACCGCACCCGGGGCTGGGGCAGCCGGAGTCAGAGCCGCAGGAGCCGCCGGAGCCGGAGCCAGAGCCAGAGCTCTTCTAGGTCCAGGAGTCGTGGTAGGAGGAGGTCAGACAGTAGAGACAGAACTACTCAGAGTCCCAAATCCAAATAAACCGGTTTTGTTCTTAAATGACTGTGTGTCTTATTTATTATGGCTGCTACATACTCCGATGGAGCGCTTTGAGTTCAAATCAGTTCTCAAGTCTGGCTGAACACTATATAGCCTTGAAACCTGTTCAGAAATACTTCCGTTTCCTGATAATCACAAAGTATGGTTAGAATAGAAAACCTAGAAAACATAAAATGTATAAATAACAACCTTAAAATTACTTGTAATTGTAGCCCTGAGAGAGAACCACTTAACACTAGAACACTGCTTTAAATTAATCTTTTCTTTTTATCTTGTGGCTGTATACACATTTCTTACACAAAGATCATATGACTGCAGTTTGAATATGCTTTCTTCCACAAGAAACATTGTCATATTTCATCAAGCCCTATTCTTATTTTTACTCATGGCATAGTGTGGCTCTACCAATTTATTCAACCATATCCTTATAGGTGAATTTTAAATTTTACACTATTAAAGAATCCTGTACTGAAAACAATCCTTTGATGGGTTTCCTTAAGTATTTCCACATATTTCTGATCATTTCCTTATGATAAATTACATCGTGGGAGATAAATACTATTTGCAAGTTGCCCTCTGGAAGACTATAGAAAATTTACTGTATCAATAATAAACTTTGCTGTTCCCATGAAACCAAGTTATTTTACTCTTTGCCAATTTGGTAAATTTTATGTGTTTATATATTTAATGGCCATTGATTCTTATTTGCCCTATTTTTCTTTTCATTTAGGAGACAGGCTTTCACTATGTTATCCAGGCTACATCCCAGTGGCTATTCACGGGTGCAGTCATAGCACACTATAGCCTTGAATCCCTGGGCTCAAGCAATCCTCCTGGCTCAGCCTCCCAAGTAGCTGTGGGACTACAGGTGTGCACCACTTCACCCAGCTTGTATGTACTTAATAACATATTGGGTTTTTCTACATGCAATAGCTGAACAGTTTTCACTTTAAAATTCATTTTCTGTTTTAAAATAGAGTCCTTTTTTTTTCCACTTACCCTCTGTCTGCAGTACCCCTTCAGCTGGGAGCTGTCATGGTGTACCATTTTAGTTTGGTAGAAAGTTTTTTATATGGGGTAAAGATAACTTTTGTCATTTCCAAGAAGATTGGGGTCATTACCACTGAATATGCATAGTGTTAAAGCAATTCTGGTATAAAAATCATAGAAGAGTGGTTAGAGAATAAAATGCAGTATAGGAAAAGTTTCAGACAAAGTATTATCCCCAGATTTCAGATCATAAGATGCTCCCCAGCTTATACATTTTTTTATAATTTTCTTTCCATTGACATACTTGGGATCTTGAATTTCAGAGTATATGACATTTGTCAATTGAGATTTGGGAACATAGGACTTAAAGATGCACAAAATACTGAAAAGTTAACAAAATTGAAATAGGAAAAAAATTTCTTAAAGATTGGGATTTTTGTGTGACACTAGTTAAAGAGTTGTTTAATCTGCAGTCAATAAAAGAAATGAAGTATGTGATTCGGAATAATTTTACTTTGGCCGGGCGCGGTGGCTCACGCCTGTAATCCTAGCTCTCTGGGAGGCTAAGGCGGGTGGATCGTAAAAGAATAATTTTACTTTAAAAATTCTCATTTATTTCCAGACTCTAAATGCCTGCTTCACCCTAAAAATGATTAAAAATTTCTGGAACGATCTACTGGGTTCCCTAATGCTGAATTATCACTAAATTAAGTATTTTCCAGTACTTTTCTAAATATAGTCAAACATGCAATTAAGTATGGTATGCAAAGCTGAATAATCTTAATGGATCAGGGATAATAAAACCACCATCTTGAGCTCAGGACAACTGAGATATTGATGACTTTTCCCTCGAATGTTAACAGGCAGGGGTAGGGAGGGAGGGCAGGAAGTTTTTGAACCACATTTTGAACTTAAATTTATTAAGGTGTTTTTATACATATCACCTGATTACTATTTATGATTCAAAAATTCCAACTGTATGTTGCTATTAAAAGCCCACAGCCCATAGGCTGTTTTCAGTGAATAGCTGCATGTCGAAGGCTCTTTAAACCTATAATAGGAGGTCCCTTAACATGATAACCAAAGAGTTGATTTGTTGTACATTGGGCAGTTACTGTCTGCAAATATTAATCCATTTCTGTTGCGTGTGTTAGCACCTCTACTTCATGGTGGGTAGAGGGGAGAGGAATCCAGTTAATTTGGAATAACTTTTGATTACCTAGGATAATCTGAGTTGTTCATCCAGAAAGAGTAGAAAAGTCAACTGCATCGAGGTTTTAAAAGCGGCATTTATTGAGTGAAAATAAATGTGTAGATAAGCTCTCAGTAGCATGGGATCCACGTTATCTTTTAATGAACTTGAAGTACATGAAGACTCCTCAGATTCTTCCGCCTTTTATCTTGTGTGTGCTTATAACAACCACCATATTCAAATGGAGGGGAATTTTCAACATTTTACCGAAAAAAATAAATTCTTCCTTCAGCAGCTCTCCACAGTTTGACAAACTTTTGGAAAGAGAGATAAAAACACACTCCAGTGTTTGTACGTTGAACGTTTATTACAACTAATTAGCGATGTGGTAAGACAGTGCTCACGTGGCCTGAATATTGGTCACAATCACAAGCTTAATCCAGCCCAGCATGTACAAGTGAAAGTATAAACTATGAAGACATGTTTAGATATGTATAAGGACTTAGAAAAGGTGACACTGAATAATTGTTGTAGCTTTAAAAAATATAGGGCCAACTAATGCCATTTTACCTCATTCAACTCTCACTTTTTTATATGAAAGGTGTCTTTTTATATTTTTATAAGACTTCTATTAACTAGGCAGTGCCATGGAAAAAAAGGAAGCTGCTACAGAGTTTGCAGCACTTTTAAGTGGAGGGAAGCAATAGGGAAGCAAAATAAATTTGGCTTTAACAAGCACCCCAGAAGGAACATTCGTGCTTTAAACCAATGACTTTACACACAATACTGTGATGAGAATGACATGTTTCCTGTAAGATACTGTTATGAAGAATTCCTGGTAAATTAATATTCCCACTTTAGTTTGGGGCGTCAAAAACAATCCAACTCAGTAAATGATTATGACCACAAAGAATTCTTCTCAGGAGTCAAATGTGCCTTGGCCTTAAAAATTATGTGCTCACTATTATGAAACAATCTCTGTTCCTCATCCCACGTTCAGAATGCCTAAGAAATAATTTTTAGTATAAAACAGCATCATTTCAATTTAGTCATTTAAAATCTGTATTCCCTTTGTTTTAAGCTACGTAGTTTCCAATAGGAGTCTTTGGTATAAATTTGGTTGTTTTGTTTTTTTTAAGTTTCAACAGAGTTAAATTTCCATTCATTTGTTATGTGACATGTCAATTCCCTTTATTCTTATATATACTGAAATGTTGCATTAGTCTTTGGTTCCATAAAACCAGGTTTCACCTTATAATTAAGTTTCCTTTATCAAATACGGTAATTAATGTATGTTGCTTGATTATTTGATTTTACATGTATATAGATGTGTCATTTTCATATATGCACATAATCAGATTAAGAGAAACTGACCTATAAACTTTAGAATATCCAGAAAAGTTATCTTTCTGCATCATTCTATTACTAATTAATATTTTAAATCCCTTAATTTCACTTGGTTAATCAAAGTTCCCTTTAAAAAAAAATTGTGTAGGCCTGAATGAAGCGGCTTAGCAAAACAGTAATACTGACAAGACATCATCTTACACCATTAGCTAACATGGACATGAAGGCAGTGACCATCTACAGTGTGTGAAATGCCACAAGAAGTCATCAACAAGGGAGGAGAATTATGTCAGTCCAATTTCTTCAAGAACACTACGTGGGGTTTCAGCTTCCTGTGGAGGGAAAATGTGAGACTCTGGTAAGCAGATCCAGGGAGTCTTGAGAATGTGAAAATTTGACATGGAAGGACATGCTCGTTTTAGAGAATAAAGAAAGCAATTTAGTGTCTTAGGTACATTCTACTAGTGACAGCCAGTGGTTATTTAGGGTTTTGTGCCCAAAATATTGGAGACCACAGAAGGACGTTTTTAGCATTCATTAAACACAAACTGATTACCTACCAATGTGCTGGATACCTTTGCTGTAACACAAAAAGCAGTCGGGCCCAATGCAAATTTCACTGGCAGTTTATGAAATCACTGCTACTCTGTTATATACAGGAAAGGTAACTTATCTTAGTGTCTTAGTGGTTAAATTCAAAACCTCTTCCAGATAAAAAGCAGGAAACTATCACCACCACCTACCAAGTTCCCACAATCCTCCACCTAATGTTTTCCATGCTCTTGTCACATGCATTTATAGAAATGTCTTCCCTCTTGAAGTTTCTACTTCACTGTCCACAGCAACAAGCCTTCAGAAACAGCCAGCCACCTTCCCAGACCTCCCCAGGGCAACCAGTGGTGCCAGCAGAGGTGAAATTATAGAAAGAATGCTCTCCGACAAAAGGCATTTTTGTCCTGTCTAGCAGCCAATATTTGTTTTTAAGTGTCAATGGAAGACAAAACAAAGCAAGCATAGCAAGAAAAAAATTGTTTTAAAATTTTCTAAAGTGGCTGATATTGTACATCACAAAATTAAAAAAAAGGTCAACTTGCAGGTATTACTAGCAACAATTTTGTAATTAATGGCAACACTATATTTTAATGGGGGAAATAATGTAAATTTTTGGTATCCAATAATAAACTTACTTTTGCATCCTAATTGTGGTACAGCACAAAACAAGAAGAAAAATCATATTAAACCATAATTCCTAAGAACATTAGATTTAATTGTATGTAAAGCACTTCATGGTGTAATCTTAAACTGCTGAAACTCTATGGTATGTTTCTATTTGGAAAACAAGGATAAAAGTACTTACCTTCATAGGTTCAGATTAAGTGAGTTAAGACTCAGTGCCTGATTTATAGAAAGTGCTCAAAAAATGTTAGCTTATCGATATATAATCGTTACACAAGTGAAATCTAAATGAAGGTATTTAGCATTTAGTACTAAATTGAAGTACTACTAACCAACACTCTTCAGTTCATATGATGACCTTTTAGTACTGTTTGTGTAGTAATGAAAATAGGTAAAGATAAGCTTTAGTGAAAAAAAGATATTTTTGAAAAGACAATCTATGAATTTTTTCCCCTCAAATTGGACCTCAGTCTAATTAGGTTACAGATCTAAATACAGATGGAGGATAAAAGAGCAAGCTAAACATTGCCACAAGAATACCATCAGCTAAATACATAATATAGGATATTCTATAACATAAAACCTGGTTTAAAAAAATGGCAAGGGGGGAAAAAAGCAGACAACTTGTTAAAGATTAAGAGAGACTTAAGAGACACATCAACCAGATACAATGTGGGCCTTGTTTGGAAACCAATTCTAACAAACCAAGTAGAAAAAGGGCATTTTTCAGATAAATAGGGAAAACTGAACAAGGCACAAGATATTAATAAGGAATTAATTAGTGTTAATTTTGTTGGGCATAGTTTATCTATTAGAGATACATGCTTAAGTATTAAAAGATAAAATGACAAGATATCTAGGGCTTGCTCTAAAATAATGTGGCAAAAATGGGGGTGGAGTGGTTGGGGAAACAAGTAGATAAGTTGATGGTTGTTAAAGCTGAGTGATGTGTACATGAGGGTTTTTTTATACTATTCTCTATATATGTGTGTCTAAGTTTTTATATTAAATTTTAAATCATTTATTTTTATTTTTAAAAATTGAGATAGGGTCACACTATGCTGCCTAGGCTGGACATGAACTCCTAGGCTCAAGGGAGCCTCCCAAGTAGCTGGCACTACAGGAGCATGCCTCCACGCCCATCTGCGTGATAAAGATTTTTAAGAAAGTCTAATGGAAATGATGCAACATCACTCCCAAGAGGGATGTAAGCCAATCTCTTTCATTTATAATGTTTAGCCTTAAACATTAAATACATTGAGAGGATGACATCTGAATCACAAATATTAAATAAAACAATTTTAAAATAATTATTTCCATTTAATGTTAGTTTTTTAAAACTTCGTGCAACCTTTAATGTATTAAAGGATGCCCACATCTTAACAGTTTACACTCTCAGCTTATCCATGTAAAAATGTCCCACAACTACTCCCTGGAGCTTGTCAGATGTCCCCTGTGTGCTCACTGCCTGCAATCTTATATATCATTTCCTGAAAAGAATCATGTTGCTTATCAAATAGGCATTATTTAAAATATTTGTCCTATCTAAAAGACCTCGTTTCAAAGACTCATTTATATGTTTTATTCCTTGAGACTTGTACGAATAGTTTTTTAGATTGTATTGATAAAATAAAATGTACCTTTCATGTTTGTACTGAAATCATAGCTCAAAATTACCCAGAAAAATATATCTAAAGTAGTCAAATTCATAGATACAGAAATTAGAATGGTGGCTACCAGTGGCTGAGGGAGAGGAGGAAAAGGGGAGTTGTTGATTAATGAGTATAGAGTTTCAGTTTTACAAGATGAAAAACTTCTGGAGATCTGTTATAACATTTGTAAACCTACTTAACACTACTGAACTGTCCACTCAAAACCAGTTAAGATGGTGAATTCTGTGTTACGTGTTTTTCTTTTTTTACCACAATTTAAAAAATTTACCTGGAAAAATGAAAATATAAAACATTATTTTATGAGGGATGGAGAAGAAAAAAGTCATTCACATGAGACAAAGGAAGTACATGCAATATTTTTATTTTAGACATGCAAGGAAAGCTATTTCAGAATCTACTAATTTAAAGCAAGCAGCTGTATACAGATAACAAAAGAAGCAACATTTGGTTACAGCTCAGCACACAGCATCCAAAGCAAACAGGCATGAGACAATGCATATTTATGTAGCATTAAAACCAGATGGATAACATATTGTGGGGCAGAGGAAGGGATGGAGGAAACAAATGGAGATGAAAGACCAATGTTTCTCAATGCTTCAAATGTATAATGCTAAATTTCTCATTTGATAGCACATCCAGGTGCTTCAAATGTAGTACATTACAGCAAGATGGTTAGAATGGAAATAACTCATCTGTATACCTGCCCAATACTAAGTTTGGTCAAAACACATTTTCATAGGTCTTCTTTCAGTGGTAAACCTGTTTGATCATGTTCTGAAGTTATAGTTTAATAACTTACTAAAACTCAGGCTTTAAGCTCTCTAGATATAAACAATGAATTATTTGGTACTTTTCCTTTTGTAATAAAACATGCTATATGTTTTATTAAAATATACAATAGTGATCAATATTAAAAGTTTTAATATTCAGAAATATAAAGCCACAGTTAATAAAGCATTAAGTATTTAAATGCAGACTTAATATATTAGAAAGCCATAACTAGTAAAATATGTCTTTAGGTATTAAAACTTAACATTAGGATTTTTTCTTTTTCTTTTAGAATAGATTCCTTTCAAAATAGGACTTTTTGACTATAAAATAAACTCAGCATTAATATTTTGAAAAAGCTACTATTAAGCAACAGATATTGCAGAAGAGACTTTTCAGACATAGCTTTCTGTAAATTCTTAAAGGGATTGTTTGATATTATTATATAGCACAAATGTGATTCAATAAATGTGGTGCTCAAAGTTTCCTAAAAACTGAAAGTTTTGACTTTAAATATACAATAGTACAGATCAATTTTACTTTCTTGTATTTTTCCACATACACTTTTATATGATACATTAGAAAACATTAGCTCATATAGATTGTAAGATAAATCACCCCTGCCTCCCAATATTTGAACTACACTATATATATATATTATGGCACTGCTTATTTTGACCTAACACTTAAGCTATATTTTCTTTGGTAAACATGTTAATGATTGCCAGATTTTCTTCTTATAAGATTAGTCACAGATGGTTCATTAATGATAACATGTATGTGTTTAAAATGAAATATTACTCAAAACACGCACAGGCCATATTTTGTCAAAATGAGATAAAATCAGTTTCAGACAGGAATAAGCTATATCAAGATCACATATAGAATGAAAATAAAATGGACAAGAATTAAGAATGAGAATAGGAAAAAAATACAATCATAAAGGTACTGGTTCTGAAATATTCTATTATTATCATACAAGATAATTGGTCACCAAGCTGAGGACATTTTCTTTCATATGCATATCAGCACTCTATTTCCTCTGTGAAATTCTGCATACTCGATGAGTAGTCATTTAGTACACAGGGACATTAAAATATTCATGACGTGGCTACAAAAGAAATACATATATTCTTATACACAGTGTACAGGCTGACACAGATACAATCAAATTTCTAGAACATTTAGTTCACAGTACCTAAAGTTACATAAAGCTTAAGGTTTTGTTTGCTTTTGTTCTTTGGTTTATAACTGAATATTTTACTTCTAGACAATGCCCAGGAGTTGAGATTCATCTTTTATAACTTTCCTGTATATGAGGGTCAACAAAATGATGACCCAAGTCCTCCAAAAATCCTACAAAATCCTGAAACACTGTATTTACTAAAAACATTCTAAAAAGATTTTCAATGTAAGTTATCTGGTCAGTATTGAGTTAACTGAAAATTCAATTAGAATATTCCCTTCCACCAGTGTTTACATTCATCAGGATTTTATTACATGAAATAGAGATGCTAGAGAAAAAGTGGAAAAGTAGTCACCCATGTGGTACTTTGAGTAGCAATGAAAGTTTTTAACTGTTCACTTAGAGCTACAAAAACCAAAAATACAAAGAGTGTGACTTTGAGACTAAGGATATTACTTTTTTTAAAATCCTCAACATAGATTTTAAAGAACTCTCCAAACAGATTTGTTAAATGTCTGTGCCTACAAATATATCTAACAAGATCTTTCTCATATCAACAAGGAAGAAAATGTAACCTGAGGTGAGGTTGGTAAAGTGACCCTAGAGTGTCTACAGATAGACTTCTATGGTCTCCAAGAATTCCCTGAAATCTGAGGCAAAATTACGTATAAATTTTCCTGCGGAGAGGGCTCGTCACCCTTGAGACTCTCAAAGGAATTATAGCTCTCAAACCAGAAGGTTTGTGACTCCAAAAGTTTAAAACTGCTTATTTGAGAGTTTTAAAAATATCCTCATTTTAATATTTATTCAAGTTGCAACTTTTAAATTTTGAGCTAAAAAATCATATAAACTGTTCCAAAAAAAAAAAAAAAACCCCAAATCTAATAGATCGCTAAACTTATACAACCATTAAATACAAAAGTATCTGAGGAGAAAAGTCAGTTAAATTTTAATCCTCAGATAACTGTTAGGGTGAGTACCCTTTCAATAATTCCCAAACATTTTAAAAGAGACAGCTGCCCTTTTTCTTCCCTTCTCAGAATAAATTATAGTGGAATGAAGAAGTTAAAATAATGCTATTAATAATAAATTAAACTCCCAAATGCTTCATTTTCTTACAGATGCTCTCATTTTCATAGGAAAATTCTACTTCTTTATCAATGGTATTAGCAATTCACAGTATTTAATGAGTACTTTTTTGTCCAACGAACCTCTGAACATATTTCAATATTGTATGTAAAAAACAAATTATAAGCCCCGATGATGGATCATTATTGGAGCAAAATTCCCTATGAAAACATCAATTTAATGAAGTAACTGGGATGATCCCTTGGGATTTAATGTAATTATAGACTTTTCAGGTAATGCTAAAACATAAATAACAAACTTGACA